TCAGTATTCACCTGTTTTTTTTTACATATTAAACGATAAATATGTGGGATAAGGAGCCCTAATGTCCGAGGCTGACATACATGTATCAATAGAATTAATGTGCCTGAAGGTCATGTTTATGTTAACTTGTGATGAAGAGGGGCACTTAATATTGAAAATGTGAAACAAAGTGGTAAAATATAATATGAGAATGATAATTTCCTGGAATGGAAACATTGAACATGAAAGGTTAACAGAAAATTTATTGAACCTTTTTTTTGTTGGAAAAATTCATATTATATAAGCTATTTTGTGATGTGATTCTTGTGATGATTCCATACTATTGGGATAAACATACAACATTTATTAAAATGAATATAACAAAGATGAATAGTCTATTGAGGAATCTTGAGAAATAAAAGTAAGTATATTTGCGGGAAAAAGTCATGCTTAAGTTATTTTGCTCTGTGAGGACCACATAATATAGGAAAGTATACCCACAACATTGATAAAAATTAATATTAACTAGGGTTGGGATTCTAAACTTGTCGTCACAGTACATATTCTGTTGTAATGCCTAGCCCTAGTCGAAGTGTAGTTGGAGATTGCCTCCGAAACTCGAAAAGATAGCGCACATATGTGCTAAAGACCAAATAATAATGTGATTTTCCATTAGGCAAAATTCAATTTTGAACTATTATTCATTTTATACGGAACATTCTAAGTCGTTGGTAAATTCAGAAGAAAATCGGTTTAAAATTTTATAAAACTGATATTTGTTGCATTTTTTTATCATGTTAATATTTCTTGTCCCAAATATCTACCGTTTCGTAGGTTAAAAAAAAACGCGAAATACGCGTTTTGTTAATGCCTTGAGTTTTTTTAGGTGTTTTTAAATTCAACTTACTATCTAATCTACCTGGGTGATTAGCGTTATATCTAATCCCTAAAACGCACACAAATCAGCCCTTTACTACAGCACGAACGCATGAGTAAGATTTGGTGGATAAAATATACTAATTTGCAGAAATACGTCATTTAAAGGGCAGTTTTATTGGTCACATTTTTAAAACCCGGATCTCGAATTGGATGCTTGGGTGTTAAGCAAAGTTATGGATTTATGCAGTAAAAAATGGTCCTAACAATATGGGCTACTTGAATAATCGGATAAAATGGCGTTTTTGTGTAAGTCGACCAGATTTCGGAAATTGCAGGAACATCCTCAATCGCATTAATAATAATTTCTTCGTTAAAATTTAATTCGTTCGTCGTGAAACCCTTTGTCTCTGTCTAAAAATGCAATTCCAATTCTAAATCTTTTTGTCACACAGTTCATTGCATTGCAGGTCGTAAAAATATATTGTAATAAATATATAACTACCAAAGTTTGGTTCACATTACTAAGCAACGGGGTTTTCTCGATCACACAGGATTGCACATTTAATTTGGACGAGCTGGTGTCATCGATCACCGAGACTTCGGTCACTGACAAATATATATTCACTATTCTATTTTAACTATATTTTGACCAGCGGTTGGTTCAAGACAGTTAGGACGTTGCACAATTTGTGAATAATCTTCAGTAAACTCATATCACCAAGGCCATTTTTTCAATCTTGGAAGAGACAGGCATCGGCGTTCGTTTATCATCGTGTTCGTTGTTCTTAGAATCTTCACATGCCAGATTTGTTGTCGATTGTCTACTACAGTCATTCATTACTCTCGCTTTTGGTTCGCAAGTTGCGTTGTTTGTCGGGAGCTCAGAATCGCGGTGTCTGGTTAAAAAATTTATAGCGGGTCGACATACATGCTATAAGTGATGAAATACAAATATGTTTACCTTTCCTATGGAACCAATAAATACAGTAGCATACACAGAATTTATTTAACAAGAAATTGTCACAGTTTGTATTTCACACAACAAGTAAATCTTTTGTGATAGTCGATTGGTATTTTTTCTTAATATTTTCAGATGACAAATTGAAACTTTATGGTGCGCCTTTTCAACATCATTAACGGATTTGCTGTTCGATTGTGTATTTACCCGTGTTGTAAATGTAAACATATTTAATTTCAATACGTATATTTCGGTTCTAAAATGCTCATGCCGCCATGTAAGTTTCAGAATCCATTTATGAACATGCATTCACTGCTTTATACCAGTGGTTCTCAACCTTTTTTAGTTCTCGGACCGGTAAAATTTCCGAAACAAATTTTGCGGACCGACGGGCCTTCAAAATTAACCAAAAATGTCATGAACACAAAACATAATCAAAAGAATGTAATTACGACAAAAGTATGCTGTGCAAAAAAAATCCAATTCAAGGAGAATTTTGCTGCTGTCCTTTTGATATCAAATGTGCTAAACGCGGTTCTAATGAAGTTTCTGCAAGGCGAAGTAGAGCGTTGATTTTCACACGATTTCTTTGTTTGGTCTTGATGAGAGTTAACGTTGAAAAACTTTTTTCACAAAGGTAAGTTGTACAAAAAACTAGCAGTATTTTGATGGCTATGTCACTGAGCTCGGGATATTCGTTTTCAAGAGATATCCAAAACTGTGACAATGACAACTCTTTATGCTTGGACATCAACGTGGTATCGCAGGAAAGCTCAATCAACGATTCTTTCTCAACAGTGTTAAGATTGTACGAATCATTATCTTTTGCAAAAGGATTAACAATCCAAAAGTTTCCCTGACGAGGATCCGCATTTTCTGGAAAGTATTTTCCAAAACTGATGCGTAGATCTTTCAAGTGTTGACTTATAACAGAAAATAGCTCTTCTGTGTTGGGAGAAGAGCTGTTTGTCACGACGTCCTGTAAACACGAAAACATGTCAAGATCGCCTTTCAGCACATTGTTGTTCCAAAACACCAGTTTGTCTTTGAAAGCATCAGTTTTGCTACGTTATGTAAATAGGTTGGTGTGATTGCCTTGCAGATAACTGTTAAGATCGTTCAAGCGGCCGAATATGTCCGCTAAGTAAGCAAGCTCCGCTGCCCACATCTCATCGGATAGGAGTTTTTTTAGTTGAGAATTTCTTTCACGTAAAAACTGCTTGGCTTCTTCTCTCAATTCAAATAACCGAGTGAGAACGCGTACCTCGAGAACCACCTTAGTTCTGCATGAAACAACAGATGACGATGTTGCGAACCCATGCTATCGCACAAAGCCTCAAAGAGCCTTGAGTGCAATGCCCGGCCACGTATTCCATTTACGATCTTTACGGCACCATTCAGAACGTCATTTAATTCTGGAAACAGTTTTTTGGCAAATAAATTTTCCCGGTGAAGAACGCAGTGTGTGATCAGTATATTTTTGTTTGCCACTTCTCTGACACATTTTTCCCAATCTAAACCTTGATCTTGCACATAGTTATTAAGAGACCGAAATATTTCTGAACTGGTCGTTCGTCCGGATAATTGGAGACAACAAAGAAATTCTTCAATGATTCTTCCTTCATTTTCATACCGAACAAAACAATTAGGATTAGAACAATTGCCCAAGTCTCTAGATTCGTCCAGCTGTATAGCGAAATATTTCGATTTCTTTACTTGTTCAATCACTTGCTCTTCAACATCAACTGCCATATCCAATATTCTTCTGTTAACTGAGTCATTTGAAAGTGGTATGGCTGGGAGTTTGTTAGCTGCTTCTGGACCCAAAACCTCTGTAGCAGCTGCAAATATGCAAGGTTTACTAAATCTTCTCCGATGGTATATGGCTTTTTAGTTTTACTTATTTGAAGCGCCATTAAATAAGAAGCTTTAAGAAGGGATTTTTCAGTCGTCGTCATCTTTCGTAATTCAATTATTTTTTCAGCCTCGTTCAGCCGTCTCATGAAATACGCAAGAGGCTTTCCAACTAGGTTGCTATTATGCGAGTGAAAATGTCGCGTTAGCTTTGCGGGTTTCATTGCGTCGTTTGAAAGAATATTGGCGCAGATCAGGCACATTGGAAGCGGTACTTTTTTGCTGCTGGGAGCAATAGTGAATTCAAAATTCTTCCTATCATACTGCCTAATAAAGTCACTCTTTCGTTTTCCGATTGTTTCTGTGTGATCCACATGTACATTGCTACAAGGTCTTTTCGGGGCATGTTGTAAAGTTGAAGTAGCAGCCTCTACCTCTATCCTTTCAACAGACTCAACACCACTAACTTGGTTCTCACCGCTAGGTTTCTTTTGACAGAACTTGAAAATACTTTGCTGTTTTTTTGCCTTCATTTTACTATCAGACCTTGCGAAATTAGAAACCTACTGTCAAATTACGGAAAGTGCAGGCAACGAAGTTCTCAATCAGGTACCATATCATGTGCTATCAAACTCCTCCGTGATGACGTTGGCCGCATTTGTGACGTCATAGACTTAACGAATATCCAGCCGTTCAGGCTTAGAAATTCGGGCAGAGGATCTCTGACCAAGTTTGGTTGTTAGACGAATACTGGTAATACGGATCAATAAAAAATCACCAAATTAAATGGACATTTGCGCTAATGATTTGGTTGGTTAATGGACATGCCGTCTATACTTTGTATTTTGCTAATTGCTTATAATATATATATTAATATTAGAATATATTTGGCGGACCGGCAGCAAGATTGCCGCGGACCGGCGGTTGAGAACCACTGCTTTATACTATTCATATCCATTATGTAGTGTTTAACGAGGCTATAAATGTCGCGTATATCATTCCTCCGCGGCCAAAAACAATTTCAGATACCAATATCCACATATAAGTTATACTTCAAAAGACTCTGCATTTGAACTACGTACCACCACAGAATAAGTTATACGTTTTTGTTGTAAGTTTGAAGACAGTTCTGCCCAAAGAGTTTGTTTAATGTACCCCTTTGTATTGGCTGATAGTAAAATGCTACGAAATTGAAAATTGGATCTGTTAGTGGCAGTTGTGTGACAGCATGCTACGTTCGATTGACTAAGGCATATCAATGAAGAGTAAATATACCAAATCGCTAGAATGTTTCATCTAAGATGTTATCTCTACCTTGGCGTAAATATACCTACCCCTAGTTATCAAGCTTCCATATGTATTGGATTGAGCTTCCATATGAGTCTTTTTCAAGGTCATTGCCAGAAGTGCTTGTTTATGTATGAAAAATTTTCTTCATTGAACTTGAGTAACGTTAAGAATCACATTAAAACAAAAACATGATTTGACACACAATTTTGTCTTGGAACTTCCGAACACTTTGAAAATTGCTTCCTCACAAAGCAAAATTATCGAGTAATGCCTGAAATAGCTTGTACTCAGCGGCTTATATAAACTCGCTAATTGTATTAAAATTACACCGAGTTTCACTGAGAAGATGATGTGATAGTGGAATTGAAAATGTGCTATTGACTCATTTACAACTCAATTGTTTACAAATTGCTCATTTTTAAGACGTTTTCATCATTCCCGAAACAGGCGTTTGCGTGTCCGTTGTCAGGATCCAATTTCACTGAATAAACTCCAATAGCTTCCACCTACAAGATGAGATAATAGGGTGACCGTACATTTGAACCCATGTACATTTGAACCCATGCGTATATCCACGGGTGCAATCTATATGCGGGTGCTAAAACCCATGGGTTAGGGTTAGTATGGGTTTAACTATCCGTGACACAAAAAAAATTCCATAGGTGCAATAGCATACAGGTGCAATTGTCATGGGTTCAAATGTACGTGGGTTCAAATGTAATGGAACCGATAATAGTTATCTAAAAAGACCTTTTTCCAGCAGCCAGGTGTAATGGCAGTACGTTTCTGTGCCTGAAATGGCAAGACTTAACTCACATCTTGAAAGTTTGTTTTGAAGGGAGAACGTAACCATTTTACGGTTTATTAACATTGGTCTTTCTTATTCTGCTCGAAACATTGCATTTGTACATACATAAAAATCGTTCAAGCCTTTCTAGGAATGGTAAAATGAGAGTTTATTTTTCACCTCAAATGGTTTTTTGTTAAGTTTCTACAGTACCTACCGTTTTATATTTTTCTGATTTTGTTTCAATCTTATCATCGTTCTCTCCATCTTCACTCCATTCGACTCCGAATCGCAGAAATTTTCTGACTTTTTCCGGAATCCATATTCGGAAAATCCAGAGATCAAAAAGCGGTCTTAACAACTTCGGATCTACGTTGTGGCGATCTCTCCATCCACCTGATTGCAAAAAGTTGTTCAAATGTTAGAGTGAATATTTACATTCACCAAATGCTAAATCTTGGTGACATGCCTTAGTTATAGCAAAAGCTCATAATTTTTGTATATTCACGCTACTGAAATATTTGCACTAACCTGTTAGAAGACTGATGATACAACCACTGAGTATACAACCGATAAAACCAACAATGCTGATGTATCGATAAGACATAGTATAGAACGGGACATCATCATCATAAATTTCTGGAATTGTCGTTGCATCAACTGGTGTTGTCAAGTAACCAAGAGTAGTGTAGTTAGTTAATATCTCATCTCCGCTGCACGTGGTATTGCATTGATCTGTAGAAAGCTCCAATTTTCTCACAAAATAGTTTGACTTTATTATGCTTTTCCTTCCGAGATAGAGCCATAGCCCTGATGCAATACCGCATATCACACCACCAGAAGCACCCTATAGTAGAAAGATTGTGGAATGTATTGAGTATTTCAGATTCTATATTTGTTCAATTAATATATTTATTCATTTCCATGAAATTTGCAACGAAAGTTATGGCATAGTAATCTAATAACACTGTTTTCTTCCTCTAGTAAACGAGCAAATAAGTAGAGTTTGTACAGTAACAGCTAAGATTAACACAATAATTCTTCTATGGTAGTATGGATTTAGATCTATATAAATGTCATCAATACCTTCCAGTTTGCAAATGGAAATTGCATTCCTAAAGTAAATAATCCTAATAGCGGTCCGGTCGTGATGGTTATCAAACTGACAGCAGCTTCATACAATTCGGACGAATTTGTCATCCCTGCTGCGACTCCGACGCAAAAAACTCCAAAGAAGAATACCATCCCTAAAATTGAAGTTTTGCTATTAGTACTATAGCTTAACTTTATTAATATTGCCGTAAAATTGCAATTTCATCACATACGTTGTTTCATTCACCTTTAGAAATATAAAAATGAGTTCTCTCGTTAAATCTTGTGTAAGGTGTAACAATATTGTCCATGGCCGTTGATGCCAATGCGTTCATCGTTGATGAAACCGTACTACAAAAATAATGCAGAATTTGCTGTATTATAAGCATCAGAAATCTGTTATGCATATCTATGGTGAAAATGCACCAGACAATTGATATATGTTCATTAAAATAAACTGTCCACAGTTGAAATACCTCAACCCAATTTAGAGTACCCAATTCAGTGTTTTAAAAAATCACGACTGTAAAAGCAGCAAAATTTTGATGGGCTACAGTTAAGCACCATCTGTGAAAGTTTCAGCAACCAAGATATAGCTTACCTTAAAGTGGCAGCAAAAATGCATGCGAGGAACAATCCAGGTACTCCGGGATAATTGTGATACACATCGATTACCAACAATGGTATAATCTGGGTAAATGAGATTGTTTCTTTTATATTTGCTTTCTCAAAAATACAATGATATAATATAGCATATTATTTGTAGCTATATGTAAAAATAGAGCACCGTCAGTTTCAAGTAACAGAAAAACATTCCAGTGATCTTTTGACTAAATTTAGTTGTGTATCAAAATGTAGTTCAGATTTTATTAACTAACAATTTTTGCCACTGTTTCTAGGCTTCATTGTGGCATTTTATTTTTGTATAAAAAAGGGAAAATTTGTGATAATTTATGTTATGTAATTCTACGCGTTGGCATTTCAGAAAAATCCTCACGACAGAGACTATTTAGGAAAGCAGGGAAAATTGGTATTGACGTTTCGGTATTAAAAAAGGTGTTTTGGAGATATAAAGTTTTAGGATATATGTGTTATTGGAGTTTCAAAAACGTTTAATCAAAAGTACTTATATATATAATTATGCGAATGAAAATGTGCGAACCTGATCAATTTTGTCAATACAGCCTTGTTGAAGTGGATCACAACCTTTGTAATGCGCATAAGCAACGATCGCTATTAGAAACGCCATTACGTACAACAAAATATGACCAACGACGTTCACCAATGCAGTCCTGAAGATATATGTTTTTACGAATTAGTAATATCTTTGTGATTCACTTTATTAAGAACCAAAGTAGCGCGAAGGAAACGTAGCATTTCAACTATTTTTATTGTGTTACAATTGTCTTAATCAAAATTCTCCTGAAACTAAAATTTAGGGAAAATTACAAAGAAGTGAAAATGTTGCTTGCAAAACCAAAATAAATCTATTCGGGTAATTTAAGATTTTTTTAAGTATTTTAAGCTAAGTCAAATAGAAATTCAATATATATATTATACTTATAAAGATGCTACTATTCCATCACTCTCACAATAACACCCCCTGATTACAAACCTCCGAAAGCTGTAAAGACCAAATACTATTGTTCATCGAAAGAACATTTTTCAATGTTTTTCTACTGAAAATATAAATGTGACATATATTCTAGGTAGAGTCGATTATGTGAAGTTTAGTAATTTAGCTATAATGACCGGAGTCAAGTCGGGTTATGTTGAAGTATTCCAAACTGAACTAAGCGTTCCTTTTTCGTGATGCCAACAGTTCCATATTTTATAAAGTTATTCACATCTGAGTGATAACACGTAAATATAAACTTCGGTTCTGAACACACATTCATGAGTGAATTCATATTATGTATTAAACTTACATTTGTGATTCTTTCAGACTTTTGCAACTCAAGAATCTCTGAACTGCTGTTTGTGTCGTTCCGTACGCAGCTGTTGCAGTTGTGAGAGAGCCTAATGTCACCGACCAAAATGTATGTCGAATCCGAACATCAGTTTCGAAACTTGAATACGATAAATATTATAATCGTCAATAATTCTATTATGCTTGAAATTTTTCTGATTAAATTGAGCAGGATTCATCATATTAATGGAGTAATAAATAGATTGTACCAATATTGATTTTTAAATAAGATAATTCAAACGATTCAAAAATACAAGAGCAATGCTTAAATACATGGACGCGAAGGCCTAAACGAAGTAGTACGAATATGAAACTTCACAGTACCCGTATCGTAGTCTTTCCGGACCTTGACTAATCAGTGATCACCAGAACGCGACGATCGCGAACCGACACAAGGTGCGCAAAATTTTGATTTCGATCACGCCGTATACCACAATTATTATTATTTTAATAATTCACTTACTGCACAAAATCGAGTCTTCCTCCTTCATAAGCGGCATTCCAAACTTCTGCAAATCCTCCATTTATCATAACGCCTCTAACAACAATTGCTATTATACCAATCACAATCACGAATGATTGAAACACATCCGTCCATACGATTCCTTTGAATCCACCCTAAATAAAGTATAAATGAAAATTACATATGACAGTCCCCCCCCCCATAAAAAAAATAACATAAAGTGACTGCATAATAAAGAAATAAAAAATATGTGACTAGAAATTATATTCTGAAAACGCATATTTGTCTCATAGTGTCATGTGACAGTTTCGTATAACTATGTAAATCAAAATTGAATAACATTATATATGTTTGATGAAGCGCTCAAAGTTTGCAACTCATTTTGTGAAATTGTTCGTGGGTTTACATTGTATTTTTTTCAATCGCTATCGAATTCAAAAACAAAAGTGTGTCTTCAATAACTGATATTTTTTAATGTCATGTTTTTTTGGGGGACTCGTTCCTTCGCCCCCAATCTGTTTTTATTCATTAAATATTTCCCCTGTTCAACTAAGGGCCCAAAATATGAGGTAAAGCTCACAGATACAGTTTCTCCGTTTGGAAAGCTGTAATGACAAACATAAAATTGTTCAAAATACTTACAAAACTTGTATAAAGAATGCAAACACCGCCGCACGAAAGAATGCTTCCCCAAATATTGAACCCAGATACTGGAAGTAAAAGTTTTTAAAATGAATAAAACAACGATAGTTTTTCATTATTTGATCAGATATTCATTGATGTCGTTTTTTCGTTCTGACTAATATTTCAAACACTTCACGTCAATTGTGAAAATAAAATTTGTTCAGTAAACCATGGAACCTTACAATAACATTCGAAGTGTTAGTTGTCACATTCTGTTCTTATATATATATTACATGAAATTATATCAAACCTGCTTCAAATGCAAGGGCGGGACCATACATAGAGATTCCAGTATAAACGAACGTGCCCGACATGAACGTCAATGCGCCCAAAATTTGTGTCACTCTATTGAATCGCAATCTTAAGTACTAAAACAAATAACAAACGATTATTCGGTTGATCAACCACGAGTATTAGATAATCTAAATTTACTTGATTACTTACGTCGTAAACGCTTGTGACTCCCGCGGCATAGTAAGTAGGCACGAAGATATGCGTTGCAAGTATGGGAGAGACTATCATTGCAATAAGTCCCCTGAAATAAAGTTTATTCAAAAGTACTTTTCTTTAAAAACTTTCTTGTCTATATAATTTACTAATTTGTTCTTTTGTTACGTAGTTGCCACAACAAACTTACCAACAGGTCATCGGCCCGAATAAATAAATTTCAGCGGGAACGGACAGTAAATTTAGGGAAGATTCATACGTAACGCATAGTGATATTGCAACCGGCAGCACTGACATAGATCTGTAACAAAAACGTAATATGATAACAATGACAGACATTCAAGTATGCGTTCCAGGGTGCTTAAATATAATTGTTATCACAATAAAATAAAACATGTGCTAAGTCTATGGAATTGCAAATTATATCGGTAAAAGTATATTTATGCCCTTTTATTTTTTAATAAAATATGTTGCTTTGTGATTTTCTAACAAATTTGAAGCACGGAAAATGTCTCTTACTTTGTGGCATTCAGATAATCATTCGCAGATTTACTGTTGCGCTCACGATATGCATAATATATTCCGATAGCAAATGATAAAAGCAACATCAGTCCAAACACGACGTAATCCACCACAGAGAAGGTAAAACCAGATCCCGACATATTTTTCTATATGTATATAGAAGGAACAACCAGTATGCTTTTCTCAAAATTGTATCTGTAAATTTGAATGCTTTTTTTGTGTTCAAAACTAGCGCAAACTTTGCAAAGTAAATGAAATTAATTTATAACACTCAAAATATAGTTTAATAGTCCTCCATCCCACTTAAATTTGGAAATGACACAGTTGGCGTTTTATTGGCACCTTCTTGATGAAGTTTTGTTTTTAAAGATGCGAACATATTACTTTACAATTTGCTACTTGATCACCTATTTGCAAGTAAAACAGTCCTGTCTATTTTATATTAGGAAAAATTTCCAAGAGACAAGCCCGAGGATATTTTCATTTGTGTTGTTCCTGCTGACACATGTCAACGTTTTCCACCCTTTGGCCCTCTTTCTCAAATTTCGATTAGAATTGCAGACTGCATTATTGTATATTATATATACACTGTGTTCCATATCCACTGGCAATATTTTAGTGATGTATCTAATAGGTCATTCGTTTTCAAATTTCGGACAAAAAAACTTTGCAAACCGGCATCGATCCGCTAGTTGTTTTTTTCTGCCAGAGTAACCGCCTGGCTCCGAAAAGATGAGCTTATATTGCTTCATTAGGAAAACTTTTTCGCGTTACCTTTGTCTGACAAGTATGGTATTAATTGTCCTGGCGGTGTCTTAGCCACGAATAATGACACTCTCAGATTCCGATCCGTCGCAAAAGAGTTTTGTTATTTCTCGCAAATGATTAAAATCTACCCATACGTGCGCTACATAATTTAGAAGTTAATCTTCTTCAAATGCAATTCAAGCAATTTCCCATGATAGACCTCTTTATACCAAATTACTTCGAAATATGCTATTTAAATAAATATAAAATAGGAATATTAAATTTATTGGCGGGAAAAGATAGGAAACAACGAGAGTTAAGGAACAAATAACGGGAAACGTCACATTATTCAAATAAGCGACAACTTTGTACTATAGTCTGTTCCGAAACATTGGAATAATTATGTAACTCAAACAGGGTATTATTTTCTGTTTCCTTAATTTTATTATTTTTGCCGGTCCGCGAGATCATTTTATTTGATGTTACCAGTCCACCGAAGTAAAAAGGTTGGGAACACTGCTATCGGTAATATACGTATGCTTTTTCGGGATTTTACTATCAGACGTGACAGTTGCATAAAATAACATCAGTTGCCCAAAGACTATTTACGTTAGCGTTTCATGTGAGGAATCGCAAGGTTAAGCTCCTGGTTATTCAAATTATTATATCCAGCATATCTATAAGAAAGAATGATTGTGTTGTTTCAGCTCAGATTTGAAACATCCCATATTTTTGTAGTTGCAACTCGCACTTCAGTGGTTGGTTCTAATTTTACATGCTTTATAAATGATCCTACTATTTGATTTGAAACAATGCGTGTCCATAACACTAAGCTGGTAGGTTCTGAATCACAGTTTTGAATCTGGATTATGGATAGCTTGTGTATTGCCTATTTGTTCCCATAATGCGACACGTGGTTTACTATTTTTACAATGTACTTGAATCTAATATTAATTTTTTGCTCTGTAATAGCTCTATTAACTCCATTGCCAAAATTTCTGACTCACTTGAATGATCTACCAATCGTATTTACACTTTTCTGTACATTTAGAAATTGAAATGAAAAATTTCGATTGAACAATTGATATTTGAATTGTCTTATATATGTCACCTTTGTCACCACAAAAAATTTGATCGATCGATGAAATAGAATTAAGGATTTCAAAGGAACATGTTACCGCTTCGGTTTATGCTTGGACATTACTTTTTGTGTAAATTTGCAATTGGGGTTTGCGGATTTAATGCTTTTGTAAATATTCGTAAAAAGCAAATAGACATTTATATAAGTAGAAGCATACATTGAGATTATAAGTTCTACGGAAGGTAATTTGTTTTCGAAAATTCAAGTTGCCAATGGTGACAGGTTGCCAAACAAACCTCCTGATATGCTGAATATATGCCCTGCTACATATAAAACTAAATTTGATGTCCGCAGGTACGGGTTGGCCTGATTTTATCAATGTAAAACAAAACTTTTGTTTGAATATTCATTTTCGTTTTTATACTAAAGTTAGAGAAAATTTGAAAAAGCCTTTCCTAGGCAGAAATACTCTGATGGATAAAACTTTAGAAAAGTACCACGAATATTTTCGACTAATAACATAATTGTGGAGTCAATCACTGAAACAACTCTCAAATTCCCAGTGGTGAAATTGATCGGGTTCCCTTGAACCCGTTCTCGAGATGGCGAATTAATCAGCGAACCCGTTCTTGAGAGTTATGTCAATGTAGCTTACGTAGTGATATGAACAGATAGCTATGGCGTATAGTTAAAGGGGTATGATTTTCTGAAATGCGGGAACCCATTTTTACTGAGTTCGATACAAATAAAAACCTGTTTTGAAAATTTTGAATCCCACCACTGGTAAAGACTCTTGCTTTGGATTGAAAATGAAACACATCTCACCGAACAAAATATGTTATATTGACTGTCGGAGATTGTGCAAACATTTACCTTTTTTGCGTCATAATATGTGTAACTTCCTGCCTATCATTTAGTCCGTAAATTTACTTATAGATAAATTTCCTATGACTGACCCTTTACCTTGTCACGGGAATAGCCTCTAATTAGTATTTCCATTCCAGCCACTTTGCTGTGATTATATGCAGTTTATGTGTAACAGGCAATCCCATTTTTGGATCTTCCCCCATGTTATTACTTATCGATTTTAATCGGTAAGTATGTTGATAGGTATTTGTCTGGCTGTCTGTATGTCTGTTTGTCTGTTAGAAGCACGCGATATCTCACGAAGGCGTGGTTGAATCTGCTCCAAATTCTGCATGTGCATTCATCATATCTCGGACCAGAAGCCTATTGATTTTGGATGAATTATGTCGTATAATTAGCGAGTTATTAATTAATTAGTGATGATGAGATCTGGATTTTTACAAAGCGAGAGATTTTCGAGACGTAGTTTTCACGCTAGTGAGTCAGAGCGAAGGATACACACCGCTAGATCGTATCTCGAGATTAATCTTTAAGCATTGTCAATATCTCTCTTAGTCTCTTGTAACTTTGACGTTGTCGCGACGCGCAAGTTTCCTTCGAGAAATTTTCCACGCTATTGAGTCAGAGCGAAGGATACACGCCGCGAGATCGTATCTCGTTAATTATAATTACTCCTTAAAGTTCAAGCAATGTCCATATCCCTCAGTCAGGTTCGGGGTTGCAGAATTCCTCACCAAAATATCGCCAGGCTGTGTTTGAATAGCCGTCGTAACCTGGGTTAGCGCCGTTGTATTTGACACAAACTATAGGGTTGGTAAATAGGCTATTGGCTGAAAACTAATTGAAACAATCCAGTTCGGATTTGCAGAATTCTTCATAAAAGTATTTCCTCGAGTAGTATTTCGACGACGACATGGGGAGTTGGCTATTGTTTCCTACATTTTTGATATTGGCTGAAAACTAATCAAAACAATTCAGTTCGGGTTTGCAGAATTTTTCGAATCGAAACCGCAGTTTCTGTTTTGGGGGATCCCCTAACTTTCGATCGATAAGTCTTCCGTCTCTGACCGATATTTTCGTTATTATATTGTAAATTTATAATGATGCAAGAGCACTACGCGAGGAAAATGAGTAGCTGCTGAGTGATGCGCACTCTTATCGGACCAGATCAACGGCAAGTCAATCACCCTCTGAACATGAAGTGGGTAAATTGTTCAGAAGTAGATTGTTATTTTTATGACAAAATTAGATTATTCATCAAGAACAAATAGCTTCTAATTGTTCAGTATTATAGAACAGAAGCATATTACATATCTTCCAAAACTATTGAAGTGGTGTGCCAAGCAGACTGTGCAGGCCACTCAAATCGAAAACTATCACTCTCTGCATAGCACAAACAGAATTATATAACTATAAACATTTTACTGATATTTTACGGTATGGTAGGGGTCCTTGCAGAAATGGTTAGTTAAAACGCATGGATTTCTGAAGAAAACTGGTATTCAAATTCATTGTCACATCGACTTTAAACGAATTCAGTGAGAAACTCTTTTTTATGACATTGTGTATTTTGCAAGCTAGTTTGGCTAACATGACAATGGCACTCGGGTACTGGTGTAGGCTTTGCGAAGCAAAGGAGTAGGAATTGCTCGCACGTTCCAGCTCAACTGACTTAAAAACTCTTTTCGCGAGTACATCATTCAAAATTGGCACTTCTCCGCGGGTCGCACAATTCTTTTTTTTTTTTTTGAAAGCCGCATTTGGCCCGCGGGCCGCACAATTTTTTTTTTTTTGCGAGCCGCATTTGGCCCGCGGGCACCAGTTTGCACACCCCTGGGTTAAACGTTTTGAAGCATATATTTACTGGTATATTTTATATACCAGTGACTTCTTGTGGAGTGCCGAAGTATGTAGCATAAAAAAAAACTATTGCCCGAAACGAACTCTTCCGCGGCCCAGTGTATGTCTACCACTACATTAAAATGTTGTCTCAGCTTCTCAGATGCAGAACTATGAAGACTGAAGAAGTGAAGGACAGACGGAACCAGGGACAAATATACAACACCACAAGCAAATGTTTTATTTGAATTTCATTATTATTAATGTTATCCTAGCTTCCCAAACGCAGAACATTGAAGATTGAAAAATGAAGAACCGATGGAACCGTGGAAAATCTACAATAGTAGTAAATATTTTATATGGATTTCATTAGACTCCAACGCAGAACTATGAAGACTGAAGAACTGATGGAACCAAGAAAAATTCACAATACAAGTAAATATGTAATGTGGATTTTATTAGGCTAAATTATTATTAATGTTATCTTAGCTTCCCAGAGGCAGAACTATGAAGATTGAAAAATGAAGAACAAACGGAACCAAGGACAAATCTACAATACGAGTAAACATTTTATATGGATTTATTAGGTTAAATTACTATTGGACA